AAGGCCTACTGATGAGAAACAAATTAAGAGGTATTCATTTTCACATCCTTAAACCTTCCCAATAGGAGATTGGGATACTTTTAGATGTGCTTCATTGATTATTGTAATTCCCAAGTGAAATTCTTAGCATATCTTCTTCCATTAACTTTAGTTAGTGCATCTGTTCTAATTGTCTCCCGGAATGGGATAATACTTCACATTTATCCTGCTATAGAATTATCCAAGCAGGGATACTAAAATGTTATATATTAGTTGAGTTTTGAAAAGCACTGGGCATTTCAACTTGTTCAAAATAGGACATCAAAGCTGTTAATTCAGAAATATATCTTACTAGAATTCAAAGATCTGCTCTAATGTTCTGGGGCCACAATATCTGAAAGACTACTTTCCCCATATGACAAGGTCAATTATCAATTATCATTAAGTTCTGTTATAGACTTGCCTTTTCAGACAATAAATTACTATGGATTAGGCTACAATTCTAATTACTCTTATCCAGTAAAATTTGTTTGGTGTCTATTCTCTTAATTTGCAAGTTTTTTGTTTTAATTGTTTTTCTGTCCAGACTTTGATTTTTAAAAAGTGTTTTTTCTTTGTCATTTCACTACATACTTTGCTATAAACACACAAATAGAGACATATCACTGTAACAAAGGCAACTTGCCAGCAAGCTGTTTGCCCAAGGCAACTTCAAGTCATCTTAGAAGAGCATATACTCACTTGGCAAATTATACAGCTAAACTAAGCAAAATGAGAAAAGAGGTTAATTTCCAACCTTAGATAATAGACCAGGTGCAAAGGAAGCACTATATTTTTATTCTATCCTATGGGTTATGCCTTATCTAGCTCTCAACTTGGAATAAAAGATAGGTGATGTCTAGAATCAGTAATTATACTTAAAGCTATTAAGCAAGACTAATGCCCCTTCTAAGTAACATTTTTATTGACTTATTTGTATCATTCTTCCTCCAAGGAGTATATGACCCTATGAGATTGGGTAGGCTTACAGCAAAAATAAATAAATAAATAAATAAATAAACCTGATTAAAATATCACCAACAATGATTTGGAGGTACAAGTGAATATAATTCTACATCTGATAATCTTAACTACAAAACTATTCAAAACAATAAAAAACCGTTCACGCTCAGTAGTGGAATCTTGGTGAGATAATTTTAATTTGGTGCTTGCTTTTTCTTCATTGTAGTATCATTCTTTAATGCAGAGAATTCTGTAGTACTTATATTAAAGATCTATTAATATATTATTTGTATCTTACTCCTAAGCATGAATAAATTTAGTGCAAAAAAAAAGTTAGGATTTCACAATCTTCCAAAATAAAGGCAATTTCTATCATAGAAAAATATGCTGAACCCCAATCATTTCAGATGAATCAATTTTATACAAATGCATGCATTACAGCTGTAGAATAAAATGGATTCCAACTTTTTATTTTGATATAAGGTAAAACATTTATTAGATCAAACTTTTTTCCATTGTCCAGATAAATATTCCAAAATCTGGAAGGTCAGACAATAAGCAGTTAGTGAATTAATTTATTCCTTAATGTGAGCACCACCATTTCCACATTTTAATTTAGGTAACCTCTTTTTCATCTTAAACCACTTAGGTTCTTGTTTTAAAACAAAACAAAACTACCTGAATAGACCTTTTTAAAAAAATATGTTCAGTACAACACTAATCTAATCAAATATAATCATTACCAAAATTAGTATTGAACATTTATGTTCCAAATAAGACCTTAATGGAACTAATAGCCCATCCATGAAAAGTTTCCAGTAACCCCAAAACTACTTTGGTATAGATATGAGAAAGAGCAAAGAAAATAAAAGATATACATACCACCAGGGTATTTAAGTTATACAATTAATGAGGCTATTCAAAATTTGTCTCAAAATACAAAACCGAAACATGTTGATTGTTCTACTCTTTATTTGTTTGGAAAAGTAAAGCCAATGAGTTTTCCTATATGATATTTCTATTTCCAACATGAAATAAACAGATGAATAAAGCTCTACAAAGTGGTTGCTCAAAAATGTCAAGAAATTTTGGATTACAGGTAGTCCTTGATTTACAACTATTCATTTAGTGACTAAAGTTACAATGGCACTGAAAAAAGTAACCTATGACCGTTTTCCACACTTTTGCTGCAGTATCCCCATGTTCATATGATCAAAATTCGGACATTTGGCAACTGGTATGCATTCATGTGATCACCTATTGCGACCTTCTTACAAGCAAAGTCAATGGGGAAGCCAGATTCATTTACGACCACTGCAGCATCCCCACAGTCACATGATCAAAATTCATACACTTGGCAACTGACTCATGACAGTCGCAGTGTCCAGGACACTTTTGCAATCTTCTGACAAGCAAAGTCAATGGGGAAGCCAGATTCACTTAACAACTGTGTTACTAATTTAACAAGTGCAGTGGCTCACTTATCAACTGTTATAAAAAGTTGCAAAATGGGCCAAAACTCACTTAACAAATATATTGCTTAGCAACCGAAATTTGGGGCTCAACTGTGATCGTAAATTGATGGCCACCTATATTTTCTATTGTTTTTCTGAAAAGTGATAAAAATTTTAGTATCAAATATTATTCACCATAACACAATATTTCAGATACCTGTATTAGTGAAAGAAAAACTGTTTAAAAATGGATTGCTGCCAAATGCTAATTGAAAATAATAACCTATCAGAACATATAACTTAGAGATTTCTATATTCACTACCTTTATAAGGCATTCTAAGGATGCTCCAGCTTAAAAAAATCTTACAGATAGAATGACTTGGGAGATTTAGGGAAAAGAAATGCTTTGCTTGTATACTTTAATATTATTGACCTACCTAACAATCATTTCCTAACTTTCTCTTCTTTCTTCCTGCAACAACTTACTGAAGCAATATTGCAACAATATTAATAGCAATTAGGCTGAATAACAGGACAAACACAATTTGGCAGTTTGAAAAATGTATAACATTTTGAGTGACAAAGAAAACATTTGTATTCATAGTCTTTCAATTTTATGCAAGAAAGCTTCCTATAGACTTCCTGCCCCAAGGAGCCCTTTAAAAATAGCCAGGATTTAGAATATATATTAATTCCTCCCCAACCAATATAAGGAAAGACAAAAGACATAATTTTTAACATAAATTCAGAATGAAGTTAAAATTACTTTTTCAGTTACAGCATCATATATTAAGTTTGTATAACTTCTGATGTACTCTTAACAATTATAGAGTATTACTCATAGTTGATGTGTCAGCTGCTCCTTTCTCACCCCCACAGACACCATATATTTTTGCACTGTTAATTTTTCAGACTTTGCTGCCAGTCTAGGGAGATGGAACATTCTGTTTTACAATGTCCTAACCCAACACAAGTAACTGTAGCACCCATAAACAAGTTCATATCAATTTCAGTACTGATGATGAGATTAAATAATACAACTGCTCTTCAAATTTTGTAGTAACTATTCCAAATGAATTTTAAGCTGCTCCCTAGGGATTTTACATAACTAACATGAATTACATGCATATGATAAACTTACCAACACAGATTTGCAGAAAAAATATGGAACTGTAATTCCAGTGACACAAAACCAGCTGACAATGCAGTTAAGTACTAGTTACTCTAAACTAATTTTTAAATTAACAACATAATGAATTAGTAAACTCCCATTCAAATTTTAGCAGTATATATAGCACGAGCCAAACGCACTATTAAATATATTGAAGCAACAATATTGCAGACAGTGTGGGTGGTTTTTATTTTTTATACCGATTTGGCATTTTTCTGAATGCATGCTTATATGGCAATGTAAAAGCTTGTAGACCAAAACTCATTGAATCAAGATTTCCATAAAATATTTCTCCTCTATATTTACTGCTACTGACAAAAGCCTGTTGACAATAATTCTTACCTTTAAAATTTAGTGCTTAGTAGAAAAAACATAATTATTAACAAAAGAAAACAAGTTCAGTAAGCAAGTTACACACATTACACACAACCACTAACTTTAATGGGCCAGAACAGAAAGAAAAAGCTATCCTCTGCCTATTAATAGAGGTTTATTTTTTATGCTGAAGCAATAATAAAAGAAAATGTAATGCTATAATAATGAAATCTCAGACTAAAACTAGCCAAGAATTAAAACAATAAAAACATTTCCATGTTATTATGTCCTTTCCAGCAGGATGCAAGAAGGCATTTCTTTCTATAATTCTTGACTGAAAGATCAAGAGTTGCCCTGATACATAGCTTTCTGCAGCACTCCTGTCATTCTGTTGTGCTCTGATCTTGTTATGCATGCACAAACATGTTAATGCAGTACCCATTATTACTAAAGAGCTTGCCTTGAAGCAATAGATAGGGAAAGGCACACATGATACACACCCCCAGACACTCTTCCCTTCCTACCCACTAATGTTTACATATGTACTCATTTTTATCAGCAAAACAGAACTCCCCCTCAACCCGCCCCCAACCAAATGGATACTGGAGACAATATTCCCAATAATGCCACGATGACAGGGCCACTTCCAGATGGAAAATGAAATCCAGAAACGCCTTTTGAGATCATTGCATTTAGTGGAACAAGAGACAATATCTGGTTTTATCATCCTTCGTCACCCAGCGGTGGGGATGGTGCTTGTGCTCACAAAGGGGTGCAACGTTCCAAACGCGGATTTGAGCATTTCCTTCTCTCTCCCTTTATTGTAAGGGAGCTGGAAGGTTTTTAATTCCATATTGAGAAGGCCCTGATTCAAATAAATCTTCCTGAGGTACAAAATGGTGGATGCGAGCTTTAAAAGAAATAGCCCCCTTCATTGCAACCTATGCTAATCAGTCGCAACCCTTAACACGGCGCGGGGAGATAAACAAACGCGCCAGACTAGCTCTTTGAAACGGGCGGATTTGCATGTACGTGTGTACACCTACTCACCACCCCCACAGATACTGATGTTACAGACCTGATGTCATGTAGCCCCGTGATGCCTGGGAGAGGAACGCTGGTGGGAAATGTTTATGCAGGCGGTAGTCTTTCTCGCTGCGGGACCTCATGCGGTCCGAAGCCCGGTCAGAGAAATCCGAGCTCGGCCAGGCTCGCCGTAAGGTGATACTTCGGGTCTTCTTCATGTTGAGGCTCCCCGCAAGCTAATTCCGCACGAGCCGCGGCGGCGGCATGAACCAGGCAGGCCTCCCGGCTCGCTTTATCTCAGCCTCCTCACAGGCAGTGCTCGGGCTGGTAGCGCAGCGCACAACCTGGAGTCCCTGCCTCGTCCATCGCGGTTCCTCCGTGCCTGGTCTCCCTCCCGCGAAAGAGCCCGCGTTACGCACGCCCCATAACGCATCCCCCTTCACGGGCACTCCAACCAGCTTCCATCCCAAGTCATGTGGAGGAAAGGCAAATGGGGCGGCTTCGAAGGCGGCGGCGGCGGAAAACCAGAGCCCTCGACGGCGTGTAAGAAGCGCGGCGGTTCCAAAACAATAGCTCGATTCGGCGCGGAAGGGCTCAGCCAGCGGTGAGCCGAGGCACCCAAGGCCCAAGCAAATCAGGCAGCGCGCTCGGCCTGGGAGGGCTGACCCCGAAGGCTGCGAAAAGAAAAGCAAGGAAGCCTCCAAGCTGTAAAGCCATATGAATCGCCCGAAGGGCTGGCAGCGGCCAAAGGCTGGCTTTCCCCCCCTCCCTCCGTCAACCTATCAGAATCCAAGCAAAACATCGAGGCAGCCTAAAAATCATGGCTGCAGCAACCATTCTTCCCGTTCGCAGCACCCACTGCCTCTCCTCCCGCCCTGGCCGCGCATATTCCTCCTTCGCGCACTCCAGTTGTCTAAACCTACAAGCGGTGGTGGCGGCGGCAACAACAGCAACAACAGCAACAATCGCCTTCACTGCAGATGGCCGAGGCACCCATCTCCATCGCGTTCCTGCAGCAGCGGCAGCATCCCTCGCCAGCCGTTCCTCCCTCTTACTCTCCGGCAAGGTTATTCTCCTCTTCCCTTCACTGAATGCACGCTTACGTCTGTCTGTCAATCGCGCCTGCAGCTAAAGCCCGAAAGCGTTTGGACTGCAAAATTAGTCCGAAATGTTTTTCTCTCCGAAAATCAGCCGCGGATCGTCTGCTCGCTTTGCCCCTGCTGCTGCTTGCTGCTGTTGCTCCTCCCCTCCGAAAACGGTGAATAGCTACTGAAGGGCAGGAAAGAAAGCAACAAATCAGCCTTATGCTAATCGAGAGGCTTAGGTTACACGGGCTGAGCCAGTCAGCCTGCAAACTTTCATAGAACCCAACCTGGAGCTTCTCCAAACCTGACTTGTGTTCCAGCCATCATCAGATTTGCGGATTTGTATATTATAATGTCATTCGATTTCAATGGACAATATGTTCTTTAAAAAGCAACAAAATAAAAGTCTTGTTAAGGTTAGTTTAAACTTGTTAAACTAAGCCTGCCTTTACAACAATTTCCAAATATTATTTTGGAAACAAATACTCAAAACCAATGGACAGAAATCCATTGGAGCTGGACTAGTGGATGGGACCTGCAATCTTCTCTACTTGCCTTGAAAGACATGGAACATCTTTCTATATACTTGCTGTCCAACAGGCTCTATTGTCTGTAATTTTTGTACTTAAAAAAAGAAAGAAAAACTCTTTCATATTTCAAGCCCAATAACCATTATGGGCACCCAACTAGACAGTGACAATGATAAAAGAGGCCCACTTCCATTTAGACTATGAGATAGATTTGAAAACATTTAAACTGGGACACCAGAATTGAGGAAAAGTCTCTCGTTTTTGCTCAAAGCCTTAAAGAAAACCCTCATTTTCTCCAATGCTCTATTAAAGGACTTAGAATTATGGATCACTTGAAGCGAAAAAGCTGGGGAAATTTATTCAAAAATAAAAGTATATATTATGTAAGTTCTGAAACTTTGATTATTGATTTGCCTATGTATTTTAAAATATAAACACTAGCAGCACAGAGCTGACCATCCAATTTTAGGTGAGCTGTTCTGTATGGGAGATGAAAGAGCTAACTTGCCACATACACTCTGGCAAATTAATCAAACTGGAAATGTTTTCACCATTTGGCTCCTTAATCGTCACAAAACTTTTGCTCACAAGAACTACTGAGAACTGATTTTTGTTTCAAGTATTGTGTTTCCATTTTTTCTTACCCCAAGAAACATTTTAACAATAAAATTGAATTTCCTGCCATATTTTGTACTCTATATACATACTTTATTTGTATAGAAATACCATAAATCTCATCTACATTACCAAAGACACATAGCTCATCGCTCAGAATTGTTTGTTCACCAAAACCCATGGTGTGTTGTAGTGGTTAAAGTAATGGAATGGCACTGGAGAAACCCAGGTTCAGTTCTCAATTATTGAAGCTCACTGGATGACTTTCAGCCAATTATTCTCTCTTAGACCAACAATCTCACATGGTTGTTGTTGTAAAAATGGCAGGTGAGAGCAATTCAGCCACCTTAAGTCTTTAATGGGAAGGCAGAATTTATATCTAACAAATAAATACAAACCATCAATTAAAATATGTTTGTTCTAAGAAGATATGCACATGCAAAAAACTGCAGACAATCTCACAAGGAAGTCCCTTATCCTTCATAGCATCTGATTCAGGAGCATCAGCAGGGATAACGATAACTATTGAAATAGGCAGTTCAGCAAGTCATGATAATTTGCCAGAAAAGCATCAAGAGGATCATCAAGGAAAAATTATTCTGACACCTATTTTTGTTATCCCCCAAAACACATAGAAGTGAAAGAAATTCAACACATACTCCTTATTCAGACATACTAGGCACGTCAGCTTATAATTAAGTTGATATAACGCTGGTTTTATTCATATGTCTGTGGCATATTAAAATTAAATGCAAAAGCAACATTTCCTTAAAAATGTGGTTTAACACCCTGGCTTGTTTTGAACTAAGATTTATACTCTCCAGATCAAGACAGAATGGAAACTATTGTTAACTGAAAGCTCTCTGATTTGTTGCAATATAATGAAAGGAAACCAGCAAACGCCTCACAGATTATTTTAGCTAAGACATTTCCAGCTAAAAACAAAGCTAATTTCTTGCCATTCTTCCTCATTCACAGTGGATGTGTTGTCCTATAGTAGTTCTCCCATCCTGGTACTATCCGAGTTGAACTATTACACAGGTAGTCCTTAGCAACCACTCAAACTAACAATGGACTCCCAAACAGGGACTTAAGAAACAGATATGAAAGTCTAACAGCTGTTCCCCCTCACAATCATGTGGTCACCACAATTTGCAATTTTTTTTGTTGGAAGCCAATGTTTACTTCCAGTTTCTGGCAAAAAACAGATATTATAGACAATGAGTTTGCTTAGCGACCATCACAAAAAATGTCATAAAATCAGGTTCAATTATGGTCATAAGTTGAGGACTACCTGTAGTTCATAACTTCCAGTGACAGGTGCTTTGATATTGGGAATTATAGATCAAGACAACTAGACTCCGGCTTGAGGACAGCTACTATGTAGAATTTTAATTCCCACCCTCTAGCAGACAATTTGGCCACTATTTGTATGATTATTCACATAGTAAACAAATAAAGACTCAGTAAGGATGTGGAACTGCCTTCATTCAACTTTGATTTGCCCATGATAACATAAACAAGTGAGAGGATGAAGAAAGTTCAGATTATTAATTCTAGGTCAAGCATGTCTGGTCCAAGAAAATCTTTGCCTTCCTTAGATTTCATTTATCCATGCCTATCAATTTACTATACAAGCCAAGAAGTACATTTATCCATCACTTAAGTAACAATAACAATCATCACATAATCTGTCTTCTTTACAATGAAAAAACATGCCAAATACATCCTTCTGTCTTCTTTCTTTCAATACATCAAGCCTTTAGAGAATATAACTGTTATGTCCTGAGCCTGTGCAAGCAGGCTCGGGGCATTGCAAACGGTTCCGGCAGGTGCAAGCTGCCCGGGACCAAACAGGCTGTCGCCAGTACTTGTGCGCATGCGCAAGTGCTGGCGCGCCAAAAGTTGCAGATTTACCCGGGAATGGCCTATATAAGAGGCCAGGAGTTTTGGGCGTTGTCGGCGTCTTCTAACTGTAAGCTGAACACATGAATAAAGAAGTTTCCTGAGAACTACAACTGCTTCTCGTGTCTTGCCATTTCGCGAAGGACTCAACACTGGCGACGAAGGTGGGATTGCCATACATCAACAAAAAGGTGTAAGCTTACCCGAGTGAGTCCTGAGCGGCAGGAACGGCGTGGACTCGGCAGCTACCCGCCAATCCAGCGTGCATTCGGGGGTAGGCTGGCTGATAGACCCTTCCTGATACAAAAATGGCACAGATTGGAAGGCTTTCGGAATTCGACGTCTCACATCCAGAGAGGTGGGAGTCCTACGCAGCCAGGGTGGAAAACTACCTCAAAGTGAACCAAGTGAGGGAAGAAAGTTTGAAGGCTGCCACCCTGCTGTGCGTTTGCGGTCAAGACGCATTCGAAATCGCTGAGAACCTTGCAGCACCTGTTCCTTTAGACTCTGTCAGCTACGCAGATCTAAAAAAGCTACTGAAGGAGCACTTCCAGCCTAAGATGTCCATCATCGCGTGGCGCCACACCTTCGAGCAGAGGGATCAACGACCCGGAGAATCGGCCAAGGAGTACATCGCCGCATTAAGGAAAGCCGCCAAACATTGCGAGTTCAAAGACCTCGAAGAACGACTGAGGGACAGATTCGTATGCGGGCTAAGGCATCGTGAGTTACAACAGAGACTTTTTGCTAAGGAGGACTTGTCTTTCCAAGATGCCTTGAGAGAGGTCACCGCAGAGGAAGCAGCGGGCGGCGCCATCAAGAATATGCGGCTGATCAGGAACAGTCCAGATGCTGCATCCGTGCACCAGGAAGAAGTAAGAAGAAGAAGAAACTCTGAGGAGGATCCGGACAAGGAAGTCGACCGTCTTCACCCCACAAAGGAAGGGAAACAAAAAGGAAGCTCTTCAGCTCTCCCCAAGTGCATTGGCTGTGGAAGTCGCCACAGGAGAACCGACTGCAAGTTCCGCTCCGCTATCTGCAGGGCGTGCGGAAAACAAGGACACATTGCAGCTGTTTGCTTGGGCCGTCTGAAGGTACAACCTCAGGAAGAATTGCACCTGAAAGGTACCAGGGTCCCCAGCCAGAATAGGGTGGGGTTTTGCGCTTCGCGAACAAGCATCTATAGGACAGGCACACACAAGCCAATTAAGAAAAAGCTGTCACTTAAGGTGAAGCTACAAGGGGTTCCATTAGCTATGGAACTGGATACGGGGTCTGCCCTTTCAATCATTTCCATGCAAACGTTTAGGAAGATTTGTTCCGGTAGTGGAACTCAGGCCAAGCTGAGGCCTTCTGACATTGTGTTAACAGACTTTCAAAACTCCAGAGTGTGTGTTAAGGGGGAGGCCACCCTTAACGTACAGTATAAGGATTTTGAAGGTCCACTAGACATATTAGTAGTAGGGGGTGAACGAACGAGTCTCATAGGACTCGATTGGTTTGAGGCCTTGGGAATACACGTCACAGGGCTCAACAGCATACAAACACTCAACCTACAGGAAGTCTGCAAAGAATTTGCAGATGTTTTCAGCCCCCAGCTGGGCACATTCAAAGGACCTCCTGTGTCCTTAAAGCTAGACCCCACTGTCACTCCCATTAGAATTAAAGCAAGAAGGGTCCCTTTTGCTTTAAAGAGTAAAATTGACACTGAGTTGGATAAACTGATCCAACAAGGAATTCTGGAACCTGTTGACTCCAGTCCTTGGGAGACCCCCATTGTCACGCCTCTAAAGGCAAATGGGGACATTCGCATTTGTGCTGATTACAAATGCACTCTGAATAAGGCATTGCAGCAACATGCCTATCCTGTTCCTGTGGTCAGTCATATTCTGGCCTCCCTCAAGGGGGGGCGCGTTTTTGCAAAGCTTGACCTAGCTCAAGCGTATCAACAGCTGCCTGTTGATGATGATGCTGCTATAGCTCAGACTATTGTGACCCACAGAGGGGCTTTCAAGAGACTTCAATTTGGAGTAAATGTCACTCCTGGGATTTTCCAAAGCGTAATGGAAAACACACTACAGGGTATACCAGGGGTTTGCCCCTATTTTGATGATGTCTTAATTGCTGGAGACTCCACGCACATTCTAGCTGAAAGGCTAAGGGCTGTCCTGTTAAGGTTCAGGAAAACGGGACTCAAACTCAAGAAGAACAAATGTAAAATTGGGGTGCCTTCCACAGAGTTTCTGGGGTTCAAAATTGATGCTGCTGGGATTCACCCTGCTGAATCCAAACTAAAAGCCATTATGCAAGCCCCCAGGCCAAAGTCTAAGACCGAACTACAGGCTTTCCTGGGCCTTCTGAATTTCTACAATTCCTTTCTTCCACATAAGGCTAGTGTAGCTGAGCCTCTTCACAGGCTATTAGATAAACAGGCAGTGTGGCAGTGGTCACACACACATGAGGCAAGTTTCAATGAGGTCAAGTCCTTGCTCACTTCTAACAGTGTACTTGCACACTTCAATGAGTCCCTTCCTGTGTGCATCGCTTGTGATGCTTCCCCTTATGGGGTAGGAGCTGTACTGAGCCACCTCAGGTCTCATGGAACTCAGGTTCCTGTTGCATATTACTCCAGGACATGTCTTCAGCTGAGGGCAACTATGCTCAAATAGACAGGGAGGCCTTAGCTGTTGTTGCTGGAATTAAAAAATTCCATGATTTTTTATATGGTAGGCATTTCATGGTCTTTACTGACCATAAGCCTTTGCTGGGACTGTTTACCACACGTAAACAAACCCCCCAAATCATCTCCCCCACGATGCTCAGGTGGTCTATCTTTTTATCTGCATATGATTTTTCCCTGCTTCACAAGCCTGGGAAGGAAATGGGCCATGCTGATGGCCTCAGTAGATTACCCCTGCCGGTAATAGAAGCTGACCCTGCGCCAGCTATCAATATTCTCTCTATCCAAGCCTTGCCCGAGTCTCCCCTGAATGCCAGGGATGTAGCCGCTGAATCAGGCACAGATCACACACTTTCACGTGTCCTTTCTTGGGTTTTGTCTGGATGGCCTGAGCACTGTCCTAGTCCTGAGTTTCAGAGTTTCTGGTCTAAAAGGAACGAGTTGTCCACCTCTCAGGGTTGTCTGCTTTGGGGAAGCAGAGTTGTCATTCCCACCTCAATGAGGACTAGGGTCTTAGGTTCCCTCCACGAGGGTCATCCTGGCATTGTACGAATGAAGGCTCTTGCGCGCAGCCACTTGTGGTGGCCTGGCCTAGACAAAGACATTGAAGCTAAGGTGCATGCATGCCACCTTTGTCAACGCTCGCGCCCTGAAATGCCCCAAG